GCACCTGCAGCCCTCCCAGTCGGCAGAGCACGGGAAGCTGAAAAGTCCCTGACTAGTGTCAGCACTGCTCAGCAACAACTAAAACATCGGTGCGTTATCAACTTTGTTCTTGTCCTAAATCCAAAACACAGCCCTGTACCAGCTACTAGGAAGGGAATTAACTCTATCCCTGCCGAAACCAGGACAGCTGCCTAAGCGTGCCAGTGGCGCTTAGCGTTTACAGGGTGCTTTATCGCCGCTGAGCGCAGCGCAAACCTTGCCTATCCTGAACTGTGCCCGATTATCCTCGTTTACAGCAGGTCGGGAGATAGACGAGAGCTGACCTGCCAAAGGCAGGGCTCCGAGTCAGCAGGTAGAGCCGGAGCCAGCCGAAGATCCTCCCGTGCCGTGTCTCCGAGGGGCCGCTCTGCCTCCGCCCTGGCAGAGCTGCGGGGAGGATTTCAAAGGGGTTGCGGGCGATTTTTGCAATTCCCAGCCAGACCTTGGGTAAGAAACGGCTGGCTCCTGCCTTTATCTGCTGGCACATGTTTCCTTCTCTCTGTGGTTTGTCCGCTGCTTCTAAAGCAGTTTGAATGTTTGCAGGAGGAGATATTTTTTTTTGGTAAATATATTTTGGGTTGTGATTGCTTTATTTCTATTTCAAAGCTTTAGGAAAATGTGGTTTTGACAGTAACTGAACACACTTGAATATTGCAAACTGATCTCAGCCACCTGCTAGGAGTGAAATCAAGATCGAAAATGAGACTTCCAGATTTTTGGTCAGTGTTTTTCCCCATTCCTCTCGTTTCAGGTGGGTGGATGTTTGGCTGCCCCTTGCCTGCTTCCAGCAGAAATCTCTTCTGAAGATGCAGAAACTCCAAGTTCCCGGAGCGCTGACCTGGGGAGCTGGAGGCGGTTGGCTTTTCAGGGCATCATGAAAACCTCTTGCAAAGCATTTCTTGAGATCTACTAAACCAAGAGGATTAGAATTTTGGGGGGTTTTTAAAGTAATTACTTGACTAAATATCTCCTTTCCAAACTTGCAGGCCCCCTGGCAAGGACCTGCAACTTTAGTAAGCAAATGAATATGAACTGTTTTGCAGCCTGACGGCGTGTACCTGCAGCAGAAGTAAACCCACGGCAGAAGTAAACCGACTTAACCAGCCAGTAATTACCCACGAACATGCTCCCTTCCCTTCCTCCCTAATTGGTGGGGCTTTCTGGGAGCACCGGCTTGGGCAGCGCGCCCTGGGGGCAGCAGGCTTTCAAATTGTGTTT